CAATGTTTCCTTTACACATACTATTTTTCCACATAGTCCCCATCAACTTGTACGGTTTTACGCCAGCGTGGAACAAGTGCATGCATCCCTTGCCGGTACCAGCTCTTGTCCTGTCCCCGTAGCCATGTCCTCACTGCTTGAATCACGCTCTCGTCATCTTCAAATCTTGTTCCGCGGATAGCATCTTTAAGTGGCCCAAAGAGATGGAAGTCGGAGGGTGCCAGATCTGGACTGTAGGGTGGATGGGGTAGCACCGTCCAACCCAATTTGGTGATTTCTTCCCGGGTTCTCAGACTTGTGTGAGGGCGTGCATTGTCGTGCAGGAGCAAAATTTCTGCTGGATGCTTGTGAGGCCGAACTCGTCGAAAACGCTTCTTGAGGGTTTTCAGGGTCCTGATGTACGCGTCTGAATTGATGGTCGCACCTCTTGGCATCACATCCACAAGAATGACCCCATCACTGTCCCAAAAGACAGTCATCATGACTTTTCCGGCGGAGGGAGTTGTCTTGAATTTCTTCTTTCTCGGTGATTGAGGATGATGCCACTCCATTGACTGCCTTTTTGTCTCTGGCTCAAAGTGGTGTATCCAGGTTTCGTCACCTGTAATGATCCGGGACAGAAAGACCTCTCCCTCAGCATCAAAACGCTCCAACAATTCAGAAGAAATCGTTTTCCTTTGAATCCTGTGGTCTGCTGTGAGACTTCGTGGAACCCATCTTGCGCACACCTTCGAATATGCGAGAGCCTGGATAATTGCAATCACACTTCCATTGCTGACTGAAAGCTGTTGGGCCAATTGTCGAGTTGTGATGCGCCGATCCTCACGAATAATGGCATCCGCGCGGTTCAACATGTCTGGAGTGGTGGCTGTGGCAGGACGCCCAGAGCGCGGCAGATCACGGAGCTCGGTTTCTTCACTTCCTGAAGCTTTAACTCTCTTAGCCCAGCGACCAACGGTGCTCCTATCGACTGCACAGCTTCCATACACAGCACACAAACGTTTATGAATGTTCAGTCGGAGGGTGGATGGGGCAGCACCGTTCAACCAAATTTGGTGATTTCTTCCCGGGTTCTCAGACTTGTGTGAGGGCGTGCATTGTCGTGCAGGAGCAAAATTTCTGCTGGATGCTTGTGAGGCTGAACTCGTCAGAAACGCTTCTTGAGGGTTTTCAGGGTCCTGATGTACGCGTCTGAATTGATGGTCGCACCTCTTGGCATCACATCCACAAGAATGACCCCATCACTGTCCCAAAAGACAGTCATCATGACTTTTCCGGCGGAGGGAGTTGTCTTGAATTTCTTCTTTCTCGGTGATTGAGGATGATGCCACTCCATTGACTGCCTTTTTGTCTCTCGTACATTGTAACGTTGCAGGTGAGTAACTGGTACTATTGCTTCACATTATGGAGTTCGTAGTTTCGATTTTCGACCATGCGACCGGCTATCCTCAGATTCTTCGTAGTTTTATTCAGCCCGCCAGATAAATTCTGAGCTGATATTTTAAAAGACGTCATTATCACTTTCTTTCAGATCAGTGCAGATTCCAAATTCACGATCACCATAACTCGACGATATCTAACGCATTTAGTGAGAAAGAGTTCTGAAACTAAACTGAAGGAAAGCATTCGGCAGTTTTTAGAAGTAATTCTGCCGAGATAAAGGCGGGAAAGGAAGAATGGGGCGAGGCAAACATTTTCGAAAGAATTAAATCCGGTTTCAAAGGGATTTTTCCATTGGTGTAGACGTAAAGGAAAGTAACTTGTAAACCCGACAAGTACACTACTGTATTTTAATTCACTACTCAGACTACAAAAGTTATTTTGCTTGCGTAATTTTTGCTTTATAAAATATAGTAGTGTCTCACGTTTTAAATTCGTATTAAACCAAGCAGTTTTTTACTTGAAGAACAATCTTTTTTATCTTCTCCCACAGCTAACACCGAACGACACAGTAGTTTATTCTGAGATGCCAAGTGTCATCTAAACTTTATTAGTAGTGGCCTCTAAGTGATTTCAAGAAGGCCATGTCATTATCTCCCAGACCTTATAATACAGCCGTGCATTCTGTCACGGTGTATTAAGAAAATAGGACACACGTGTGCTTGGTAATTTTCCTACTTTTAATTTATTATGGTACGAAGTTCTTCTACGACGCATGCCACAGTTTTAATGCTTCATCATGGATTCTGTTCATATAAAAAAATCAATTTTTGTTTATGATAGCTGGCAGTTTGTTCACATAGTTTTTCAGAGACTCTAGGATCGAATTTCAGCAATCCCAGATGCTAATTATGTCTGCTGCTCATTCGAGGGGTTCACGAAACAAATCCTGCAAGCCGTTAGCTCAACAATTACGTCAAATTCTTATCCTTTAAAAAGTACGGCAAAATGAAAAGGAGGGCCGCATATGTACTTTCAAATGTTTGAGAAGAATATTTAGAACAAAGAGGGAGTAAGTATAAGGAGGCTGCATAAAATTACATTATGAGTTTTATAATTTGTACTCCTTACAAAATACCCAATTATTAGGTGATCAAATCAAGAATGATGGAATTGGAAAGGCACGCATGGAAAATATGGAGATAGAGGAAGAACACAGGTAATATGTGGTTTCTCATCACCGTGCAGGCATGTTTTCTCTTTCACTACGAAATGTCGTTATCAGTAGTTCAATATGTCACACGGTGGCATGATTTCGTTTTTCATCTATATTATAATTATTCGTTATATATTTCCTCTCGTCCTGTTTCTTTAATAGTAATTAATAAACCAAGCTTGTGTGAGACTTGGCCCTGCATGCACTGTAGCTCACTCAGATGAATTCATTCATAGACGTATGCATATAAAAAACATAGAATTCTTTCCACTGAAGAATCCTATGTGTTCAAGGAATATATACAGCCAGTTGGAAATCGACAAGTCTACAATGATTGTTTTAATATCATCAATAGCATAGTATTTACAGAGTAACTGCAGAGGCTTTTAAACAGGGTCATTCTTGAGAAGCTTATAGTGGATTAGATAATAAATAAATTCAGACCTTTTATGGAATCCGAAAAGCCCAGCGGATACTCGTTTTCAGGATTTCTAAATAACATTTTGCATGCATTTCTGGTTGCCTTCTGTGATATTTCACCATGTAGTCTGGTGGAAGTTACCGACATCTTAGATGTGCTTACCGCCTCCATCATCAGGGCGATGAAACTCATCGCCAGTGAGTACCTCTGAAACATCTGTGAATGTCTTCGAGACTGCATGGTACAACGTCCCAGAAGACAGTTATCACTCTTTCGATGATGCTATTGAAATTGGATGGCACGTAATAGAAAATTTCATAACAGAAATGTGTACTGGAAACAGTCCTTTAGTCCTTTATTACACAAAACCAACGTGAAATATATTATTTGCTGTCAGTGATACGATTCCATACTTAATTAACAATAGTCTTCTAATATTGTTCATGTGCAGTAATGATATATATGTAAGTACTATTATAATCTGGCATAAAATTTTAGCTTTTTAAAATACGTAATTCTTATGCATTTTATTGTGTTCATTACAATTTATCTGAAAGGGGTTTGAGTATGGGCGTTGTCCCTGAGGAGCCTTATCTTGAAGATTGATGCAGGTCAAAAAGTCATCTTAAGTATAAAAAAGGAGGCTGGTGTCTCGATGTTTTGTTTTTGAACATTTGGAAGGCCACGCTTTGTTGACACACAACATGCATTACGGCAACAAGTGACGCACGAGATACGATTTGAAAAGACGTATAGGCTGTAACTTATTGTGTAAATGTGACGTACTCTTCCATACCTGATAGAGAGGCCAAGAAAAATTTCTTAACCAATCACAAAATTTTGTGGATGTATTCTTTGTCAGTCTTACATAATTTTACACACTTTGTGTAAAGAACGCATCATGAAAGGATCATTATTGATTCTGAAGTTATTTTAACAACACTGCCAACTACAACGTTTATATAGCATCAGACAAGGGAAGGAAATCATGACAAGTGAAGGAAATGGTCACGAACTGTTTGTATATACTCTGTATTCGATAAGAGAGCCCGAGAAAGACCACGAAAATCTTAAGCAAAGATAACCCATAACCAGATCGAGATTCGAAGTGGGTAATTCCTGAATGTGATTCTAGAGACACACTCAATAAGATGCAGTTCTCGGAGCATACTGTGGCATTGTATCACTGATACAGAATCAAATACATACATTAAAGTTTCCCTTTAGGTTTATGTACAATCATTAGACAAAACTTGCAACAATGAACTCCATAAGATATTACTGTTAATGTATTATCCACAAATATTACTCACATTTGAGCTACAGTATATTATTATTTCTAACAGTTCCAGCAATAGTCAGAGTTCTGTTTCCATAAAACATGTAAAATATATGCTTTAGAAGGAAGATTGATATTTCAGATGGAGATTTGTGAATCTGTGATTTGATAAAAATATTTTATGCACGGCATTGATGTCCTAAACTACGATAAAATTATATCCCTTTTCAGACAATGTAACGTGATTGGTTTCACTTCTTGTGATTTCTTCTACTGCTGTGTACATTTCATAACGAAATCTCAGGATGAAAATATAATTGTTCTGCTCTCTAGCGGTGTTTACCCAATATCCTTCAATGGTGTGGCTTCGTAGTAATTGACATCAGCCAGAAAATCTCCATCCAGTGATGAGTTAAGAATATGTGACCCATGGCGCTATACCGCCACTCCTCCATACGCCATCATGGCGTATTCTTATTAAGCGTAACGATCACCTTCACGATGCGGTACTTCGGCCTATATGGTCAATACGGAAATTCAGATGAGTGGAAAGTGGCGACTCATGTAAAAATTCGTAACAAAGTTTCCAGAAGTGTTAGAAAAACTACGTTCAGAATATCATCTCTCCTTGATATCGAGTTTACTGCAAGGTGTGGAAACACACACCGCGTAGCAACATTTCTAAACGCGCCCAGTTTGTGCTTCTCGCGCGTGTTTTGTCCCGCTTCTTGTCGGCCAATCAGCGTACCAAGTCAAATGACCTACAGTACGCCCTTTCTTGAAGGTCATACGAGTCGGCAAGCCGGGTGGTTGTTTCGTAGATAAATTTGGTAAGTTTTTGATATGATTATAACTTTAGCAGAAAGTATTCGTAGGGGATGATATATACGAATTCTGTTTATGAACTTTACAGTGTAATGTATTATATATTAACTGTGCGAAGATGGATATATAAAACAGTATTCTTTCACTAATGGAATGATTGAATGAATGTTGACTACCATAAACCGTCATTTATTTACTGCAAATGGCTCAGAGTGTAAAGCAACTAGCAAGTGCCTTTTCTCCAAAGGGATGCTGGTGCGAGAAGACTAATTGGTAGCAATGTTTAACAGGAGATGGATAATTCTGTAAACGCGACCTTATATTATGTGTGACATACTCTGTTTTTTTATTAAATTTTTTGTGTGCAGGTCTTGCATGTATTATATTTTATATTTGTAAGTTTTCCATTTTCAGGTGTTTGGTCACTCGTCAGTTTAGTTGTGTATCAGCTGCAAACATGCCTCTCCACAAGTGCTTGGCCCGTAGAATTTTTGACTCTCGTGGAAACCCTACAGTAGAGGTACGATTATAAACAATTCAGGTGTAGGTAATGTAAACACCAAATTAGCTTTTTTGGTTTATGTTCTAATACTGATTTCAGGTTGATCTAGTGACAGACCTTGGCTTATTCAGAGCAGCAGTTCCATCTGGTGCAAGTACAGGAGTTCATGAGGCCCTAGAGATGAGGGATAATGACAAAAAGAATTATGTTGGGAAAGATGTTTCCAAGGCAATTAATAATGTTAATAAAATCATTGTTCCAGAACTTTTGAAACAGGTAATGGGGTAGAATTTGAAGTAAGAGTACATTATTTTGTAATTATGTTGCTTTCTGACTGCACTTCTTACTTTGATATTTAATTTTATCTTTAGAATTTTGAAGCCACTCAACAGACTGAGATTGATGAATTTATGCTAAAGCTTGATGGTACACCAAACAAGTCAAAACTGGGTGCAAATGCAATTCTTGGGGTATCTCTGGCAGTGTGTAAGGCAGGAGCAGCCAAGAAGGGTGTACCACTTTACAAGTAAGCAAACAGTGTTTTGAATTTATCAGTTTAATTTGATCTGTTTTTGCAATTTGTAAATTGTATAATTATTTATTTATATCCTTGACCAAGTTGTTTATGGAAACAACTGATTTTAAAGATTAAACAGACATGTTGAACACAATTTGAAATTTAGTATGTTTAGAGTGAAGTAATAATGTCATAGTGTTTTAGTTTTTCTGGTGTGAATATTGAAACTCAAAATGTAGTGATTGTTGTCAGGCACATTGCTGATTTGGCTGGAGTTAAAGAACTGGTTTTGCCAGTTCCTGCACTTAATGTCATCAATGGTGGCTCTCATGCTGGCAATAAACTGGCTATGCAGGAATTCATGATTTTGCCAACTGGTGAGTGGTAAAGAATGAAGATGCTATAAATATTTTATTTGTGAACAGAATTGAATAAAGCAACTGAATATGATTTTAAAACATTTCAATTCTCTATACAGCAAAACTGTTCACATTTTTGGTTGGGAAGTGGCACTAGTTTCTTTCCATGTGGCTGTGATTGAAATAATTTAGCTTCATGCATGATATATTTCTGTAATTTTTTTAGAATTTTTGTCAGCATAACCTCTGTTTTATGAATTGACCATGTCACTTACTCTGAACTATTTTTAATTCCAGTATTTCCCATTTAGATGATACACAAGAGCAGAAGTAGATTAATTTGAAGGCAAACTATGATAGAGGCTTGGAAAAGATGTCTTTTTACCCAAATAACTGAGAAATTAATATCAGGCAGCATTGTCTCTTGTATGTCTGTATGAAGTCATGTAATATTCTTTTTTTTAATCTAGAAGTTTCTGTCGTATTGCACAGGTGCTAGCACTTTCACTGAAGCCATGAAAATTGGTTCTGAAGTATACCACCACTTGAAAAAAGTAATCAAGGACAAGTTTGGCTTGGATGCTACAGCAGTCGGTGATGAAGGTGGTTTTGCTCCAAACATCCAGAATAACAAGGAGGGTCTTCAGCTAATAAAAGATGCCATTGACCAAGCAGGTTATACTGGCAAGGTAGAAATTGGTATGGATGTTGCAGCATCTGAGTTTTTCAGGTGAATGGATTTGAAAATATAACCAGTGGCACAGTGTAACCACTGTAGAGGAAGTAAAAGGACAGCCTGTCCCATAGAAAAATTGTCATTGGTATTAGTTGGCTGTATGTATGAGATCCTTCTCAGTGTGAATTTTGGATAGCCTTGGATTATACGTTTACTTTGATTATAAAATGAAGTTACTTTAAGAAGAAGAATTAAGTCATATTTTTCTCAATTTCTCCTCATCCAGTATGATTTCTGTGAATACCTAAAGCATGGTTGTTTGTGTTTCATTATTTCAGAACAAGTGACATTCATTCTGTTAGTTTTAGATTAATTAAATGTAACTCTTGTATTAGAGAAGGGAAGTATGACTTGGATTTCAAGAACCCCAACTCGGACAAGAGCAAGTGGATTGATGCACAAGAACTGACAAATCTTTACCTGGATTTCATTAAGGATTTTCCTGTTGTGTCGATTGAAGACCCATTTGATCAGGACCATTGGGATGCATGGACAAACATTACTGCTAATACCAGTATTCAGGTAAAAATGTAAATGTGAGATTTCAAACTAAATGGACAATTGAAACTTATAATGAGAATGTCTTTGTAATGGGTTATTTTTAATGTACTATGATGACTTGGAGGAGGGGGTTACATATAACTAATAACTCTCTTTTGTCTGGTGCTAGGTTTAGAGTGTATGAAGCTGTACCTAGATACCTATTTGTGTTCATGGTGCAGACCTAGCGGGTCTGAAGTTGCCCATGGGTTATTTGAACCAGCCTGCGAGTATTTAAACATGTTTTTTTCCATAATTTTGTTCTGTTTATGTCTAAATGGTTCATGTCATGTGCCATAAATAAAAGTTCTATCGGACATTATGGAAAATGGAGAAAAATTGTTTAGCCAAGTCATTTTACAATTTCTTAATATGAAAATGGCTTAGATTTGTATAATGGGCACCTATATTTATAAACAAATTTCAGCCTTGCTTGTCTGGCCAGTGAACATAGAAATCATTGACCAAGTGGACCATTTACAAAAATGTTTGGAGACTTCTGATGCAGTTTATAGATACAGGAATATCGTTTATATAGGGAACATGATAATGAATGTTCTGTACATAACTTTTATCTTTGCCAACATGTTTTATTAGGATGCAGATACATATGTTTATTGAAGAGTGTGGTGGCTTGGAATTATTGCAGATTGTCGGTGATGACTTGACAGTAACAAATCCTTCAAGAATCCAAACAGCTATTGACAAGAAGGCTTGCAACTGCCTTTTGTTGAAAGTGAACCAGATTGGATCTGTGACAGAATCAATCAAGGCTCACAATTTAGCAAAATCCAATGGTTGGGGTACCATGGTGTCTCATCGCTCTGGTGAAACAGAAGATACCTTTATTGCAGACTTGGTTGTTGGACTATCTACTGGACAGGTTGTTATCATACACTGTACACTTCAGCTGCTTTCACATATTTACCAGGGATTCTCAGAATTGATGACCATTGAGAATTGTCTAACCTCTGTCCAACAAGCCCAACATAACCTCAGTCCAACAAGCCCAACATAACCTCAAAAAACAGGGAAATATTAACAAATGTTAATTTATTTTTGGGTATAATAGTTCTCATTCATACTTCATGGCATTATGATATTTCAGATCAAAACTGGTGCTCCATGCCGGTCTGAGAGACTGGCGAAGTACAACCAAATCTTGCGCATTGAAGAGGAACTTGGTGCCAGTGCCAAGTATGCTGGCAAGAATTTCCGCAGACCTGTATAAATATACATTGATGAGAAGAACATCTGGTAGCCCTTGGTCGATTTATGCAAATGTACTCTTCAACAGTACATACTGCAAGAACATGCATTAGAATTACTGGCCATATATAGTTTTGCAGACATTGTTCTAGAGAGTGGGCACTTGTATGTTCCAATTATTTAATGTTTGTAACAAAGGAAAAGAATTTCAGATGTATGTAACAATAAAAAGGTGTCTTAGTCTTATGTAGTTCTGGAGAACAGCTGTATGATTGTGTTGAGTTTTGTTGGTATCCTTTAGAATTGGTTGACCATTCAGGAGAATGGACTTTTGTGTATTTTGTTGAAATGGATCTGTAAAGAGTCCTGTGGTGTAGAATTATTTAATTGTTAAAAAGAAATAAAGGGACCCAAATTGTTTCAAGCACCTACCAATACTCTCCACTTTGTGATTTGTTTTCTCAACCATATTTAGACCAATTTTTAACCATTTTGATTAAATGAATTAATTTCCTGTTTCCAGTGATGATGACCTCTTGAGGTTGAAACGCGTGTGGCACTAGTGTCTTTTTTTATAGTGTTAATAATTTGTTTGCTTATTTTATAACCTAACAATACCATTAGTTTTCAATGTCTACTGTTCCCACTGTGTATGATCTCAAGCTTTCGTGGTGAGTAAGTATAATGAATTATTCTTGTGTTAGGTGGTTTAATGAAGAAAATGACGTTTCAAGAATCATATTCATCTTTTTCTACAGGATACAGCTTTAGTACCTTTCAGTACTTCTGTCTGAACGTTTACTGTCTACACAATGTTCAATTGTTATGAACTAGTAATTGAAATTGGAGAATGAAAGCAAAAGATAAAGCCAGAACTGCGAGTGCTGAATTTAAATATGTGACATCAATGGTATGAATGGGGCTATAATCAGATTGAGTGCTGGTCAAAATTTTGAAATATAAAACCAAATGAATTAAGATGAGAGACTTCCTGGACTATTAAAGAATTGGTGCTGTTCAATCTATTTGTTTCCCAAATCTTATTCAAATTTTAAGTCTTCCCATATACCAGAAGTTTTAGTTAGGAATACATGAAGAATAAATATTTTGACATATATGTAAAACATTTTCTATTGAATACTAATAAAACAAAATTCTTTTACATCCTGCAAATGCCAAAATTAAGTTATTATATTAGAAGAGCTGACAATACATAGTATTTATTACTGATAAAAACAAATTTCTTATATTTCCAGAAACGTAAAATTAACTTCAAATTTACTGCAGGCTTCCAAGAATATTAGGTAACTTTGGTATATTTAGGCTTTCTGAGGGGGTGGGGGGGTGCTGTGGTTAGTTCCCCCAGGACCTTTAAAGAGACTTGGGCAATTGCAGCTGGAATGGGTCAATAAATGGCCCAATTTCCTTACTGGTAGATGAGAAATAAGCAGTTGACCATTGTTAAATAACCTAAAAATAAAGAGGTTAGGGTACAATAGTATCATTGCTTTCATGTTTGGCTGCATAATAGGATGGTGAGTATGCAGTAAATTACGTCCGTGTTCACAAGCTGTGAGGTGGACTCATTTATTCGGGCGTTGTCAAAACAATCTCATATTTTGGTTGGATTGAACTGGTAGTGTGAAGGCACTTCTGACATCTGTGTTCAAATATCGTACTACTCTACAGAATACTCCCTCCACATGTTGATGTGTGTATGTGTGTTTTTGAATTCAGTTATGCGTGTGAACATGTGCAAAGGATTAGACAGTGCTATATCGTCTGCCAAGGTTAGTTAAGTAAGTTCCTCTAACTAGAGAAAATAATAACTCACAATGTGGCGGTGTTGTAATGAATATATCTACTAAATTTGCTATTTTGTTTTCTGGTTTAGATATATTTAAGTGTAGAAATTAATGTTGCCAATGTTTATACAAAATTAAATCATTCAAATCAGCCAGGTATATAAAAGATTGAATATGAATTTCAGTAATTAAGACTACTTTGTCACTTCAGGTTAAATACTTACTTTTACTTCCTAATACTTTATATTAATTTTGATTTCAGTGTTGGCCCTTTATCGGACACCATAAACTGTTTCTAAAATGGCATGCTATTTCAAATTATTTGTGCTATTTTCTTTTAAGTTTGACAACTTATTTTATTTATAAGTAAGTTTTATCCAGTACATCATTAAAAAGTCTTTAAATTTATGGCTCTCATCTTATTCTCTGAAGAAAGAAAAGTAGCCATCAACTGAAAGCCACAAACTGAGCTACATTTATTGTTACTTTTTATAAAAAATTTTTGCATGTGATGAAGGTTTGAAGAAAAATCATTGACTAAGGTCGGTTTCAGCAACGGTTTTTATTCTATCAAAAAGTACATTCATACAATGTAATAATGACAGGCAGGTAATAATAGGGGTAGGGGTAACCAGTACATGAATATAGAGCTCAGGCATCCTATTGTAAGGTCTGAGTGATTTGGATCACTTTCACATCTCAGAAATGTAGAAAAACAACAACTTTATATTTATTCTTTTAAATTGTTTAATTGAATAAGTACCTACTGAACAGTTGAGTTTGTTAATGTGGCGAAGATGTAGATTGTGGTTATCTGGGTTGTGATGCTGTGGTGTTATCTAAATGTTTGTAACTACATACAGGACTACAGCTGTTTGTAGTTAATTTATATTAAAGTCTTTCTTAGAGTGAAAATGCATTTGTTATGTCATGAGAACGTCACCGACATTTTTCTTTCACATTTATTTGGCTTTTCTTCCGTTTTTATGTTCTGTTCTTCGCTATAAGTTTTTACACAACCCCTTGCGTTGGTCTCCTTCATTTCCAAATATTTATTTCTCATATTATGCTGCCCAAGTCTTTTGTCTCTTTTAGCCCACAACAAATTTTTGTCTCGAAAATATTCTTCAATTTCTGCCAGTGATTTTCCTTGAGTTTCAGGCAAGAACAAATGAGATAATATGCAACAAAAAAGAGCGTTTATACCGAAAAGGAGAAAAACTCCATGCATTTCCAAAGTGTCCTTCAACCAGGGGTATAGTTTAGAGACACAGAACTGTAGTGCATCGTTGGCAGCAAATATGTAGCTACAGGCAAGACCTCGTATTTTAGTAGGAAGTATTTCAGACATAACTGTAGAAGGCAGTGGAAGGAATCCACAAGTATTCGCGGCAATGAATACTAAAATTAGCATTGTCGATATCCACGTACTTGTCTCTGATGATAATGAATGTGTTGTTCTCGTTTGGAAAAATAAGAAACAACTCAGGGTTAATGCAGCACATGCACAAACGCTGCTGGCGACAGTGACATGGGTCCTTCGTGGTACGTAGTACAACAGTGTGTTTGTAAGTAACGTGAAAACCAGGCGAACAAATGCTGTTAGCTGGGCAACCGTGAAACCTGTTGTATTCTTGTCAGTCTCGGAGATCATGTCGACCGCATAAAATACAACCAGCATTGTACCAGTGAGAATTTGAAACAAGTTGAAGATGTGGCCAATGAAGAATGGTTTGAGAATTGAAGGAGATGACAGGATTTTAATTTGTTGCATAATGGTCGGTGTTTTGTCGGCTTCTTCTTCGTTGCTTATGTCTAATTCCATTACTTCTGCTTCCCGTTGTGCTTTGATACTGGACAGCAATTCTTGCAGTTCCAGTTTTGCCTGTAAGGCAGTAAGTTGCTATTCAGGAAGACTTAATTACTTAAAACAGCCAGATCTAATTTATATTACAGAGTTCTATTTAAACATAATTTTTATATATACGGCACGCCAAGGTTTCGGAAAGCTGCAGTTATAGTTTTCGGGAATCAGTAAAAATTGAATTGGGGCTAAATGAAATTTTAATCGAATAAATGTCCGGCGAAAATCTTTAGAAAAAGGATTGTTAAATTAAACGAGGCAAATTAAATTATCTGTGTATCTGTTTGTCCATCCATCCCAGTATCTGTCTTTTGCCTGTCTGTCTGACGTGTTTGTTGGAACCTGACGACTCATTGTTGTGTTGGCAAGAGCCCGTCACTAGACCCTACCCTGAGCCAGTTAAATCCCGTCCGTACTCTATTTTTTAAGATCCAGTTTAATAATTTTTAACACTATCTTCCAGAACATGTCTGTGTCTGTCAGGTTTTCCGACTAAAATTTCGGTACATGAATTTGCTTAATTCAGGCGTGTGCTACATGCTTAGCCCATCAATCCTCCCTTGTTTGATCGCCCTAATGATATCTCATAGCCTGTGTATTAAGAAGTTTCTCTTCATCAATTTTTTCCCCTCGTCCTATTAACCTACTTTATCTAATGCTGTCCTCAGGACTTTGCTCCAAAACTCTCTCAATCTTTGTTATCCATTTAGAGTGAAGCTCCACACAGTATCTCCAGTGTATCTGCACCAGTTATTATAAATAATCAGGCCTAGACTACATCGCAGCCAATTGCTTTCTCTACCTCAAAATTCAAATTAAACTTACACAGACTCAGGGATTCTAGCGTCAAACACAGGAGCCTGGTGGTAACTGGTATAATTTGTCTCTAAGATACTGGGGTCAGAGTTCCAGTAGAGGAGCTGACTAAGCTTTCATGATTTTTTCATTTTTTATAACACGGTGACAGTGTCCTATCTGAATAATATGTAATATAATATGTCCACATTCTCAAGAACCCTTTTTAAATTGCTTATAATTATCGTTCAATCACGAATATTTAATTTGATAAACAAGAGAAAGATAATGTATAAGGATAAGCAGTAACTGGCCTCTAAATCTACCTGTTTCTCGTCCCCTCTGAGCCACGTAAAAGCATCTTCTGCTTCTTCCACTAGCCCTTTCTTTGCGAGCCAGACAGGACTTTCGGGTACGAAGAAGAAGGCGGTGAATGATGTCAAAGGTATAGTTGCCAGCACGCCAGCCACAATATGCCAGTGGAGATATGAACCCAGAGCATACACGAGCAAAACTCCCGTTGATAATGCAGTGAAGATACTAGATGAATACAGCCCTCTCAGCCGGGGTGTTGATATTTCACATAGAATAATCTGTTGATAACAATCAGGACATTTGTCATGAAGGTATTACCCAAGAAAAGGAAAGATTTAATCGCTTTCAGTCGTAGCCACGTTCATTACCGATTTCGTTGGTGGTCTGGGGAAAATCACGAGAAATGTCAGTGTAATGTTTGGTACCGGCCTGGGATTGAATTCGATTTTCTCTCCAATAAATACTAGATATTTTAGTTCAGAACCAAATTTATTGTGAAGTCTGTTACTCAATAGGCCCATATGGTATTTTTAAGCATTGATAAATATTATAAAAGTAAGCAAACTTTTTCAAGTTATTTAACTTTAGGATAATGAAAAATAAGACCATGGCGACATCACAAATGCTTTTTGTTTGATAGCCATAACTTTGTCATACAACATTTTTCTGGTGGTGTGTTAAAAATTCATCTCCATATTCTGCATGAAACATTTGTGCAGTAATTTTCAATCCTGTGAGTGCAAAATTACGAAATACTGGTAATATGAAATGCCATAATACTGTTTTCATCTCCAGAACGGATTGTCGTAGAAAATTACATTTTAATATTGCGTTATGTTTTAAATATGTAGGTCCAATCGTATAATGTTTAAAGGTTTAATCCTGTAATGCACCACGTCAAAAGCGCGTATTTTTCATACTTACCGACGAGGCTGCGGCTGAGAATCCGCCGGATATTGCAGTAACGAACCTTCCGATTAGTACCGTGAAGTGACTTGGAGCAAAGGCTATGATGATGTAGCCTATGAAGAGTGGCAGGAGGCCCGCTCTCATCGCAAAGCGCCTACCCCAACGTTCCATGGCGAATCCGCCAGCTACAGTGCCTACCGGACTCACACCCGATTGTAGGCTGGCTGTGTAGGAGACAGGTTATATGTGTTACGTATGTGGGAAAAATCACGATCAAACTGAGTGCTGAGATCACGTAACTCAAATTTCTTCGGCTCCGGACCGAAGTTCGGCCAAAATGCTTTTTGCCGAAACTTTTAAACGTAGAGTCACATTTTACTTTAAACTTTTATTGTTTGGGCGATTTTCTGCAGTGGGTCTATGTGCTAAACTAACAACGTGCATGTAGTTTTTTTATTTTCAAATATTTTCTCTGTTTTGAAGCTGCAAACACATATCGGGGTTTGCGGAGACGAATGTAGAAATCTGAAATATATTTTAGAGGACCTGACCATTCAGGGTTTGACACTACTTTTAACTTACAAGATTAGTCTTACCTATCCATGATCCCGTTTCCTCGTCTGTGGGTATGAAGCTGGTGTTGGATTGAAGCTGAGGCAGCAGTACAGCCGAGTAACCCATGTTAGCTCCTAGAGTTATTGAGTACAGAAGTACGGCAGCCACGTTGAAGGTCTGTAGCAGCGCAACGTCTGTAATTACCTGTCTAGTTTGATTCACCGTCCCACAAAATTATTATAGTGACACTTTCAGTGTACTGCCAAAAATAATACATAGGAAACTCAAGCTGTCAATTTTTCGCGTGAATGAAGAAATGTCTTTACATTTATTCAGATGCTGTTGTAATGGGTAGAAAGTACAATATAGCTTAGGGTTCTTTCAACCATGTACAGAACTACGTAACGAAGCGTAAAAGAATTTCTGAAGAAGGATTTTACTCCGTCATATTAAAACATTAATATCGAATGATGCTTGTAGCAGGAACTATGTGTCTAATGGATACAGAAATTGGAATTTGGAAATATTATTTAAATGAGCTTTTGTAATTTAAGAACGTAAGATACTGGATTTAGTAAATCTGTATGTGTTACATAAGAGGCGTGTTTCATATTTGCGTTACTAGAGGGCTTCTTGTTGACGGAAAGAGATCATTCTGCTGAAGAAGTGTTGGCAACATCGGATTATTTACTACCACAAATCCTTAGGGCACACGCAATCTGGTACGAGAAATACCTCATAAATGTCATATTAAAATACACAGAGACAACTTTTATTTACTTACTTCCCATTTTTGAAAATTCAGGTCTTTTTGAAATGCGATCAATTCTCATACCAGTATTTTACCAAGTTTAACAAATTCATCACTTTCAGTACTTCCATGTCTACTTTCACTTGAGATTGTTCTGACGGACTGCATGTCAGATTGCTGTGTGTGTGTGTGTGTGTGTGTAATGCTAACTGCAATATTTTAACATGATTGATCAAAAAAGAGAGAAAAAAATATACGTATGAAACCCTTCCATATCAGTATTCTGTTGTTGCTCTTTTACGAGTTCTTGGATGCATCGAACTTTTAGACTCCCGTGCTAGTGACGAAATCAGGAAGGATTCTTTTACCGGTACATTACTTCATTATTAAATGGACATATACTTTCATTACCTTCCTCCCTGTTTCAATGCACAAAACATGTTTAAATCATTCTGTCAGTGTACTTGAAGCAACGAACATTACAATTCATTTAGTCGATGATACGCTACAACATACTTTACTGCCAAATTTCAGCATTGCCATCCATGTACGTGCGATTTACAACAGTACCTGGTGAGCCACTCCACTGGAAAGCCAACTTTCAGAATCTCCTTTCTTTGTACTGCCATCCCGTAATGCTTCTCTTTCCATAGAAAGCTTGTTTTGTTCCGTGTGTCGGTTAAGAAGGCTTTGTCTTATAAATCTGTAATAAAGATCATTTCTTAATACTGAGATGTGAGTACAGTGAAGTACTGGACTAGATATCACTGTGTGTGTTTACCAATTAATGACTTCCGAATAAATTACCAATTACACGCGTCACAAAACTTGGTAAGAACTCAAGTTCACATTATAATTGAAAACCACATGAAGTTCGTGGTTTCAAATCCCATGCCAACGATAATACCAACCTTGCAACCAAGTGAATTATGAGGTGGAAGGACAATTAGCATTAATTTAGTACGAAGTACTGAAGCTGCGTCTTTTGATAGGGCAATGAAAGATAAACAGCTTAAAGAACGAACGAGTTGAAAGGCGTGCAGAAAATTATATTCTGGAGAGATTTAAATTACGTCTTATGAGGAAAAATATTGTATTTATATAAAAATATGAAACAACTTCTTTCATATATATTTTTTGGTTTGCGAGTTAATGAATCGTATTTCGCCACGCATAGAATTTCTTTTCCTCTGTTATTCAGATCGAATTATACAGTGTGTTTGTGGGAGACATTTTAGTCCTAAAGCAAGCAATGTCTTACCTGCATGTAGCCGTCGTCTTTCTCTGAGAACTTATGCGAAATAACCCAATACGCTATGCTCCTGCCGCTTTATAGTGATCGTCGCTTGTGTACATTTACGAGTTCATGCTTTTGTGACGCATGTTTCATGTGCACAAACAGACGCGTTTGTTTCGTGATAAAAGGCTGACTTGAAGTATGCACATGTTTCACAGATACCCAACTTCCTTTGCCCGTGCGTAATCCTACGCAGCAGCTAATAACATCACTTCATCTGTCGTCTGTCTGTCTGTACGCATGGCACAGCTCAAAAACGGATGAAATGTTATATGAAACTGGAGAATATTACGAAAAGATGTCGAGCTTTCCAGTTTTAATTTGGATCCAACAATTTGACGTCCATTTTACGTATGAGTACAAATACTTTGTAGGCGGTCTCGCGTCTCTGCGTAGCGTCTATTAAAACAGCATTGTATGTCCACCTGCATGTGTTTATCAATTATAAAATGGCTCCCCTGACATTTCATATTGCGTACTTTTACTTTAGTTCATTTGTGTGTATTTCTTTGCTGCAGGTCTCAAGGCGTGCCCCCCCAAGCATTTGTTGTGTAGAAAGAACTCCATTTGGGTTATTGTCTAATAATGTTTGTGAGGTGTCGGTGGGAGTGTTAGTAGTTGGTACCGTAGATCTTTTGCAAGGAATGTTTCTTCCGCTCGAGGGCTTAAATTCGGATATCCATACATTTTTATTTTAATATGAAGGTGTCTGTCTTCTGGGTTGCAGCGACGTACTTGTCGCCTTTGATGATGATGGAGGCAGAAAGTATTTCTGAACGTCGGTAAACTTCGTTAGACTCCACGGCTCTAGAACCACCCATCTTCATATTCGTCGCACTGAGAACTTAAAATTCTTTAAATATGTTGCCTTTATTGCTTCCAGGGCGACTAGGTTTCATTTCTGGTAGACGCTGCCATGTAAGTTGTGGTGTTGGTCAGCACTGGCATTATATGCTACCTGAAAAGTGCCATTGCTGTCTCCAGTGACAGGAGATTCAGACGCTTAGCTTATGGCTGCTGTTGTCCTTTTGGTTATGTGCTGGGTGAACGTTGTTCCCGTGTTTCGCAGCTCTGTACCGAGATTCCAGTATCAAAACCCTGGCATTGCTGCTAGATTTTCCCTGTTTTCCTAGAAGCCATCATCACTGTCTCGTCTTTGTGTATTCTGAAGTGGTTCGTTCCTGCCCATGCTCCTAGTTTGTCGAAAGACGTTTGCAGATCTTTTGCCTTTCTTGCTGTAATCACCACGTCTTTCGATCGCTCAGCTGAAATCCCTGTTACATGCCGTTTGGTTTAAATGTTTTTTGCCGAGGTCCGAAAATTTGTCACCCGTAATATATAATTTGAGGTCGTGTGTGTAATGTTTCAAGTTCATAACATCCATAACATAATTTTCTATAATAGTCGAGGGAAAGTAAACTTTAATATTTCCGCTTTTTGTAACCGCCCAGGCGGGAGTTGATATTACATTTCCTTTTGGGGCAAAGATTGAAATTTTGATTGTCAAACCAAAGCATGTTTAAGGTAAAAGAAAAAGGAGTTTTGCCGACTGTTTCAACACAACACTTTGTGAGCTTGGGAGGGGTGGACGTACGTGCGGAGGTGGCAGTGATTTGTAAGAGGATTGTGAATTAATAAAGTTGTGGGTTGATTTCCTACGAACTGACCTTGAACACAACTGAGATGAGTCGTTGCCTACCGACCAGCTGAGCTAAGCAAATATCCCTGAGAGATCCCGAAGACCCAACAATCCCTACCAGCAACATCGTAGCGGACGCTGTGATCTACCGGTCCGTGGAAACGAACGGTTACTCTGTTTATGCGAATTGTACGTGCATCTATCAGTGGATGTTTGAAGTATATATGATGTCACACCCATCGAATGGGGCGTAAAGAACGCCTTTGGAGCTTATGTCTATTCTGCACAGTACGTCTTACCAATGTTTTTAATCTGAATTTATACACTACTTGATCGCACGTGCGTCTAATCTGAAGTCTGTCTGCACGTTGGCATCGCGGCTTCAAAAGATTACTCTCCTCTCAGATCCAAATTTAAAGATTTTAATCTGTTTCAGTTAGTTCACGAACTGTTGAAACACGTTATCTAATAACTTGATTGGCTAGCGCTTAAATGGGGAACGTCGCTAACTTACTCACTACAGGATAGCTTGGCTCCGGTCATCTAAAAATGAATTCGACACTGACCCCATTTCCAGTACCTCAGATTTGTTGGCTGCAGAATCGAGTGTTCGGAGCCATTTGTCTTTCAGCACATGACCGTAACGCATCTCAGATCAGCTCCAAATTCTCTCACTGACGACCAAAAAAACCCTACGCGAAATGAAACGGGCGATTTGTAAGGGCACATATTTTCCTCTTTATTTTACTGTCTTAATTTGAAGGCCAACGCGATCCGTCGATTCTCCGTCCGAGCGCAGGCAAACGAACATTTGGTAATGCTACCCGTTTTAAAAGGCAAAGTTTTGCATCCCTGTTCTGAAGTAACAGCAACACGTGAACCATTAATAAAATCATACTTACAAACGCTACGATGTGGGATGAGTTATGTTTTGTCTGATGGCATATGTTTATTTACGCTGTTTGCTTTTTGTTTTCGCACAATTGCGTTATGTGTGAAACACATTAATTTCAATACCACAGTGATGAAAAAAAGAGAGAGAAAGAGACCGTTGCTTCTCCATTCCCTTCCTGTGAACTCTTGTGCTACATGAATTGTATCACACAAAAATCGCACGTTTAAAGAGAAAGTACTTCATATTCCAGAGGCTTTTGAGCGTGTCACAAAGACGCAATGACTGCATATGTGCTTCCAATGTCTTACCGTCTCTTAGAATTCATTCAGTGAAAGGAAGTATCTTCAAGTGTTGGCTTATGAAGGTCTGGTTTTGGTATCGTAATAGTAAGCCTACTTAACCATTTAAGACTTTCAGCCTTGCACATTGTGCGGGTCATGATACTATTTCTCTCTCATTACATCAGAACGTTAAAGTGTTTGAGTACCGTTTTACTGAAACTTGAAACCTGTCTATACTGTAGCAATTATTATTATTATAATACATTTTTGCCACAAAGAGGAGTTAAATGCGAATTTTATTAAAATGCGTTTACAAAGGGAATATAGAGCATAAAAAATGGCGACGCAGTCGGTAAATAGGCACGAGAAACAATAGTAATTAGGCCGTAATTTATTTTATGTAAATGAAATGAATAAATCGAATATTTATAATATGTGCTGGTTAATTGTGGATGGATTGAAGGTAACTTATTACAAAAATTTAGAAGCAACATTTCAATCATGTAACTTAAAAGGAACGTTGACGGAATGTCTAAAATTCCGCTCCTTATATGCATACAGCCGTAAGTTCCGGAAAGGCTTCTGATGTCTCTTTTCTTTCACGTATTTCATCTGTTCAGGTAAGCTAGTAGACTCGAAATTAATAAATTAAGATCCATGTCTTCGATTTGACATGGGGTGTGTCAGTATAAATCATTCTATATTGTGTGGTGGAAATGCGGCTAGTAACTGAGATTTGAGATTCTCACATCATGGCGGCGAGTATGAAGATAGTGGTCGTCTGGGTTCTTGCGTCGTGTGGTCTGGTAGAAGTTTAACAACTTTTCAGGGGTCCTTGCTGTATCGATCATCAGGGCGATCGCTCTGGCTTCGAACCTTCCGTTTTAATTTGGTAACGATACAACCTCTGGTGAATGCCCCTTTTTAGCCTAGCCTTAATTTATGTGACAGTGTTTTTAAAATATATATTACAACAAAAACATATTTAATAACGAATATAAAATATGATAACTATGATAAGACATTATCCATTGTATTTTATTTAAAATTAAACATTGAGATTCTGAAAAGTTTTACGCTTCAGAGAGCAGGTGCTTCCCTTTCTTTATTGAAGGTAGTACTGTTTGGAGCCCGTTAGGAATTATTTTGCTCCAGGGGCCAGTTTTTTAGAATTTGTATTTTTAACATTTAAAACACAGACAATGGATAATGTCTTAACAGCGTATCACAGTAATTTTTGTGCAGTATTTCCAAAGAAGGAATGATGTAAGTATAGGTAAAATAATAATTATCAGTTTTATAGCTGATTTTCCGCGTTATAGAAATTGTCTTTTTATTTTTAAACATTATAACAGGTTTCTTTTTTAAGTATGATAGCCTTGTAAAGTTTAAATATAATGGATTTGTATTATACTACATACCATGAATTTTGATAATACTCACATTCCAGTGACAGTCTCGAGAATTCTGTCGTCTTTAAAAGACTTTTTTTACGTTGCGTGCTGTTGCCAAAGTGCAATATTTTGCTACATCTAAATATGTCACATCTCAATTTATAAGAGGCACTTGACCATTTCAACGTCTAACTTGCATCTCATAATCTCCCGACGTAATACCACTGTGCCTCAACACGATATTCCTTCCCACCCACATGACATTTGGTTGACAAAAATAGTTCTCTATTTCCGACAGGGATTTCTCACTGCTTTCTGGTAAGAAAAGGTACATAAAGAACGTTCCTATTGCCGCTGTAATACCAAAAACACCGAAAATTCCGTGCACCCCCAGCAAGTTACAAAGCCACGGGAAGATCTTAGTTGTAACAAAAAATCCAAGATAGGTAGCAGCGAGAATGAAACCTCCTACTGAACCTCGAATTTTACCTGGTAGCAATTCTCCCATTGCAATTCCTGGCATGCAAAAATAGCCACAAGTGTTTGATGCTACATAAGCCAGTATACTTGCAATAATAAACACATTACACGCCGGAAATTCGTGGCTCGTAATATTTATCCCATTCTTCATATATAAGAAGGCGCCAACAGACAACGCTGATATTGTCTGTAGTGATCCTGCTATAATGACGAGAGGTCGACGTCCTATCCAGACCAAGAGGAAACACATGACAATGGCGAAGAGCAATCTAACAGCTGCTGTGAGGACTGCCGTCAGGAACCTGTCAAGTCCCAGGCCCTCATTACTTCCCGCTTGCGTGATTATATCAACTGCATAGAATATTACAAGATAAGTTCCAGAAATGACCTGGACCAAATAGAAGACACTGACGATGATGAGTGGCTTGAAGATATGGGGTTTCGAGAGATCCCGACAACAGCTTTTGGCGTTTTTCACTGCAGGCTTTCCATAGTTGCTAGTCAGGCCCTCCTCCTTCTCTTGTTCGTATCTCGAAATCAGCTGCTGTAGCTCACGTCTCGCCTGCCAGCAGAATTAATTACAGGTTACTAGGTTGAGGAGGAGTTTCGCTGTAATCATTTGTTGCTACTTCAGGTATTAGATGAGTGCCACTGCTAATAATCTTTCACAAATAAAAGCGATATAAACATTGTCGATGATGGTCTTCTGGGTTTTAACACCGGTGTGGACTTGGAGACTGATACCAGCGTTTCGGAGAAACTACTGCCTCCATCTTCAGGGCTTCAGCCCGCACAGGCAAGTCCACACGGCGTTACAGATCAGAAGATTAAGATCGATATTTTAACCACCGTTATAACTTCAAATCCCGAACATTAATTGTGTTATTATAAGCTATCCTATATCTTGCACTATTGGTTATTAGCCTCTGAGAGAGAAATCTGGCCCGGACTTCACGGAAACTTGTTTAATTTTTTAGATCCTGTTTGTCCAGGCGAATGCCGGATTAAGAAACTTAAAATCAGGCCACGATCGCTCCTTTGATATTTCTGACCTCACTTGTATTAAATCTCCGTAAGTAGACTGGCTATCCTGACTGAGATTTTTCGTGGTTTCCTAAGTTTCTCCAAGCAAATCCTGGGACAGTACCCTATATCAGCCCACTGTTGTTTCCTCCCAACAGCCTTCTCAATTCATGATCCACTAAACATCCTATCATAGTCTGAACCACTGACAGCGTCGTTAAATAAACACTCACATTTATCCCCACTCCTCCTCCACGAAGCCACCTCAGGGCTTTCTCAGCTTCCTCGATCTTGTTATTTCTGACGAGCCACACAGGGCTCTCTGGAAGCAGGATGAACGCCACCAAGGAAAACAGAGGGAGTACAGTGCTGATTCCAGACACGACTTTCCAGTCCATAACCGCTCCCATCATGTAGACCAGAAGGATCCCGAGTGAGTGACTCAAGAAGTTTGTCCCTGTTAGCATCCCCCTGATACGGGGCTCTGATATCTCACCCACCAACACCTAAAACACGCATGTGATTTTCCGTTTATGTCAGGATTTCTCGGCCTTTACGAGATCTGAGTCCATAATCGTTATTTATTATTGACTCGGTGGCCAAAAGTTTATAAGCGAAATTCATTTCTGCTGCAAATAGTTTTTTTCTTGAAAAATGCCGCACTGCAGGAAAATCGATTTATAAAACAATGGAGCCCGTAAAAATATTTGTTGATGTCCCTCTGACTACGTTTCATCAGTACAGTTTTTTCTGCCCAGTTGCCATGTTCGCGCTCTCGTTATGTCCAAAACGGACCTTCTTTACGAAAATAATGTTGTAGACTTCCACGAATTTTAACGGAACTGGGTGTACACTGGCAGCATCTGGCTTCAGGTTTAGCAGCAACGAGGGCATTGCAAATTGTATAGCCCAGCAAGAAGTGCACACCTGTGTGGGCCCAATGGTAAGGCCCGATGCAAAACCCGCCATGGCTCTTGCTGTGAGGATGACGGCATGGCGTGTCGCTAAGGAAAGGGCGATCCAGCTGGCCGTGAAAGGAATAGTACACAATATGAGGGTGGTTCGACGGCCCCACCGGTCCATCAGCATGCCGCTGAGGAAGGCTCCGAATGGACTGGCGATTGACTGGACACTGGCTGCAATCAAACGTGAAAATTATGTTGAAGGTGGAAAACATTCCGCACATAATTGTCGCTTGGTTCTCTAAACGCTATGCTCTTTTAAGTATATATTATCACATGGTTCTACCTACCTAACTGACTGGCCTCTTGATAGGTTAAACCATTCCTGCGTACGAAACGTATTCGCTGGATTTAGTAACCGGTGCCTTACAACTCTAATTGACGGGATTTTTGTCATGGTTAAAGGCCTTGACATGACTAGGGCCTCGTTACTGATGGGAGAATCCTTGAAATTTTGATGTTCACTTTTTATGATTGTCACGTCTCTCTGATTTTAAATTATGTGCAGGCTATAATTATTATGACGTAACTATACCTGTTTCGAGGTGCTACAAATCATTGGACTGCATTGTAGACTTATTTCTATTTGTAGTACTGTATAATGTGACACCGGTCTTTAGAAAACCCACGGCTGTTTCACCGACCCAGTATATGATCCTAATGTGGGCGGGGACAAGTATCTCACCTATCCATGATCCAAGCTCGTCGTCTGTGGGCAGCGTGCTGTTCTCGTTCTTCAGCTGAGGTATCAGTATCGCCGAGTATCCAACGTGGATACCA